CCATCGTTGACACTTACGAACGTTCAGAACATTTCCATAAACTTCTTTGATATTCTTTGTGGTTATAGCGTTTTTCATTTCTTGTATTCAAACAGCATTACATGCCGAATGTGTGTCTCGTCGTGTACCATCACTATAAGGGATTATAGTATACTAAACTTTAAATATTATATAGGCTACGTGACGTTTAGGCGGTTCGTTTAACTATTATATAGTGATGTACCTTTTTTTTGAGTGGTTAATGTAAGTGTTTCATAACGCGACATTAATTTCTTGACGACCTAATACTTAAAAGTTTAAATAGCAAAATTATAACACTGGTATTAAATATATTTACTGATTGAAATAATATGCACAGCAAAGAAAGTAAGAAAAAACAAGAAATGTAAACAATAATTTCAACTTTCATAATCAAGTTGACTTAAAGATGGAAATAGGACCGCACGTGGCAATGTGGTAAGCGTATCGGACTGGGGACCTGAGGGTTTCGTATTCAAAACGTGGTACTACCAAACATGAGTATTTTCACCCTATGAGGGCATTATAAGAGTAAAAGTCAATCCCGCTCTTCGGTTAAGTTGCATTCCTTTTAAATCCCTCAGTGGGACAGCGGTAAGTCTTTGGATTTAAAACGCTAAAATCAGGGGTTCGATTCCCCTCGGTAGACACAGCAGATAGCTTTGCTGTAAGAAAACACATACACACACCTTTCTTCTGGTCCGTATTTTGGCTGCTATGTCTGAGCCATATAAGGGTCTCTGACTTGATGTCTTTGCTCATTGTATGCGTAAGGTGTCATTCAGGTGAGCAAAGAAACAAAGTTTACAGATGGGTGTGAAATTAAGACTATAACAACTCTTCTAATCATGCTATGTGACTAGAAAATACGTTTCTGAATCTCAAAAAAACGAATACTTGAATTAGAAAGAATGATTAAAAACGAAGGATTGGAAATCAATCACATTTGTTGCTTAAACTTGGAGACAAAATTATTTGATTAACTACGAATTACAACTGATTTTTATTTTCAAAATGCAAGAAAAGAGCAAATTTTCAAATCTTTAAAAATTAACATGCTTTCACGTAAGGTAGAAAGTAAAAGAAAACTCACTGCTTGCACGGTAATAGCGACTGTAATGCCACCTGCACGGCCGTAAGCTTGTGGAAAGTTGAGTAGCCCAGCTCCTAAAGCTACATTCACGACCACGAGAGCTGATCCATACCAACTACTTCCTAAAAAGAATTTATATATATATATAACGTTAATTATTACCAAGTGAAAAGTAATACATATTATTAGGGATGCACGGGTACCCGACCATACATTCGGCCCCTGCCGGGTATTGGGCTACAGCCGAGTTGCGAAGTTAGGCATCTAAGCCCTAATATTTGTGGTAACTAACGCGATATTGAAAGTTACAGTTAATAATTGGTTTAGTTATAAAAAAAAAAAAACAATGCTCCGAACAACAACAACTGACCGCCCGCTGAAAGT